GCTCTTACAAACACTCCGACCACTAATTCTACTCCCCCTCCCGCACATGCTTCCTTGTAGGCACCAGCTCTCACACCCACACCCAAACCCACACCGGTTTTCAGTTCAGATTCCTTCTCTGATGAGTGTGGCCCCTGACTCCCACCTCTCACTTGGATGACACCTCCAACTGGGTGTACAAGTGTTGGAGAGAGACTCTTAGGTTATCTTTTTTAACATTAGAAAAAGTTTAAATTTTCTCTCAATACTTTTTGTAACTAATATTTCTATTTTATGTTTTATTTTTTCGTGGAGATCATACATAACAAGTATAATTAGACATATCTCTCCCGGAAACATTTCCCTATTGTGAGTTGGGACTTATGGTTCTGGGAGTTCGAGGTATGACCACTTAATTTTAATTTAAATGTTAATTTCTACTTTTTTATACTAATCAACTTACATGGTTTTTAATTTGCAAAGGTCCTTCTACCAGTTGTCAGAACATCACCAGCAGATCAAACACATTTTTTAGGTTTGTGGGAAGCATTGGCTATACGACATGCTCACTACATCATGCAAGAAAGTGTAGAGACCATGTGGGTGGGTGAGAATGCCTAGGTGGACTTGAACATAACCTAGGTCTCTCCAAATAATCACAAACCAGCATAATAGGACAATGGATGGAGCCAGAGGGGCCGCACTCAATATTGAAGTTTCAATTTCCCACACAAAGCACTACCACTACCACGATTATCTCAAAATTCATACATTTATAAATTTATGTAATATGCGATACTTATCATTATCTCATGCACACAGACAAAGTACATTTACTGTTAGTCATCCACTGTAGAATTGCATGTCATGACACATAGGTGCGCAGGCATAAAACAATGGGTCTCCGACTACTCTCACCGTTTCAATGTAAGTAAAAAATTAATTTTATGCTTTTTTGTGGCAATTAATATTTCAAATACCTTCAAGACATCAACTTCCTCTATAACTTGTATTCTTATATACTGCATTATATTTTTACTTACTTTGGTACACTATTTACCATCTTACAAAATAAATCCGAAGTCCAAAAGAGTGCAAGGAAAAAAACTTATTTTGCCTATTTCAATCCAATACAATTTTGCCCAAATTTAGCGGTTCCGCCGACCAAAATTATAAATTAATTAAAAAAACTCCACTTTTCATCTTTACAAATACCCAACGAATAAGCACCAAAGCGTAGCACGAAATGGGTCTCAAGTTCAGCTTCGTAAGCATCGCCGACGCGCTAAACCGCCTCTCCTTCACCGCCGCCGGGCTTCGCCGTGACACCATCGCCGTCGACTCCTCCACCACCATCCGCTGCTGGTTCCCCCCTTCTTTCTCCAAACCCCCCCTCCTCCTACTCCACGGCTTCGGCACCTCCGCCACGTGGCAGTGGCGGCCTCAAATTGCGGCGCTCGCCACCCACTTCGACCTCATAGTTCCGGACCTCATCTTCTTTGGCGGCTCCACTACCCTCTCGCCGGAGCGATCGGAAAAGTTTCAGGCGGAGGCAATGGTGGCTCTTTTGGGGAAATTGGGGATCTCCGGCGAGGTGGTGGGTGTCGTGGGGACCAGTTATGGAGGCTTTGTGGCGTACCACGTGGCGAAGATGTTGGGGGAGGCGTGGGTGGGAAAGGTGGTGATTGCCAGCTCGGATTTAGGAAAGACGGAGGAAGATGATTTGGCGATGACGCAGAGGGCTGGTGGGGTCCACACCGTCGAGGATATTTTGCTGCCGAGCTCAGCGGCCGGCCTCCGGCTGGTTTTAAGGCTGGCGTTCCACCGGCCGCCGTCGTTCTTGCCGAACTTTGTTCTCAGGGATGCGCTCAGGGTGAGTTTAAGAGAACCTTGCATGGACCAACATCTATATTTTTTTTATCTTAATTATTAAATTAGATAGTTATATATATA